ATGATCTTCAGAGATAGGTTGACTAACAAGCAGCTGCAATTTGCCAGACACCTTACTTTAAACTTTTGGGAATCCAAACAATTTTTTTGCTTATTGGTGACATGTCAGGTCTCTTTGCTGTCTGCTTTCAAATATGCTGCAGCAACCAGCAACCCATGCATAAGTTCATCAGAGCCACATCAGCTGTGATCATTTAATAATAGTCAGACTTAACCCAAATCTAAAAATGACGAATTGTAAGTTGAAACATACAGTAAACCATGAAATGACAAGCAACCATTTGCATACAACATAAACAACAGCAGGATGTAACTAAGCTCACTGCTGCATCCCATACATGAGATAAAGTGCATATACTGGAAGTAATTCACTTACTTCAACAGTGGTTATTGAAAGGGAATAGAGGTGATGGATGTGTTTAACAGTGTTCGCGTTCAGTCTGACAGTCTTTTCAATTGGTATCACTGTTTCTCACCCATAAGACATTTGTATTTGTGTGCATTAGTGCACTTGAACTACTCATTTTTTGCACCACCAATTAGCTGTTTGGACTAGGTAAGGCTGTCAGCTCACACTAAGGTGGACTTTTTTAATGTATTAATAAACTGTGCCCGGATTCAATCTTTCGCTGTATTTGAAGTTTAGTGACCCTCTTTGTTGCGGCAGGAAGAGGGGAGCAATCAGAGCAATGACACTTTGAACAGGTTTCAATGATGACTTTGATAGCAGTCCAAATCAGTTCAACTTTTAAAGTGAACATCTGTGTTAACAGAATATCACTAAACAGGATAGATTCTGAATTTACTGAGCCATCCTCTGGTCTTTCTATGTTGATTTTTAGGCTTTGCATGTGATTCCTGAATATACACACACTTATGGATTAACATACAGTATATTTACATGTCATTCCAAAAAATGGGGTTGCTTGCCTCATGTCTGTATAGCTGGGCTAACACTGTGCAGTTTGAAGCAGATTCTGACCTGTTTCTGGAATTGGATGACTGCTCTGGAAGTGCCTGACTTATATGAGTCATTTGTTGTTCAGTGTACTGTAGTTCAGGAGAGCTGATAACGGACATGTTAGCTGCTCCTGGCATGTCCGAAAATTTGGTTGACCTACTGCAAGCTTTTAGCATACGCTAACCTAAAGTTCTCTGAAGTCAGTCTAACATTTTTATTTCGTAATACATGACTTTATAATGAAATGTTGTCAATAATGGTGGTATACCATTGATTTACTTAGGTCTGCAAAGTTAACTACCTGTCAAGACTATGGTAGTCACTTTGTCCCTAATAGTTCTTATGCAATTGCTTTTTCTCTCTATCACCACCTGCTTTTGTAATGGTAACCAGTGTCTGAGCCCTGTGCTCCAGTGTGTGAGCTGTGCCCAGAGCCCATTTGACTCTCAGAAAAGAAAAGGATTATGGCTCATAATTGACAGAGGGCGACGGGATTTGGTGGGATTTATTGCCATCTGAGCACATCCTAGCTCTGACAGCCCACACTGCCTGACCGGCTCCCCAATCCATTGGCTATACTTCAACATCCTATCCTCCCAAAATGTCCATGGCCTAATATCAGCAAAAGTGGCTCAGTGTTAGACAAAATGCTTTTAATTCTTCTACTGTCTTTGCATGTTGAATCCTCAAGTAAATGGAAGGATTAAGAGATTAAATACACAAGTGAGAATGAAGTCTGTAATTATTCACAAGGAGGAAGGACAGAGAGGCAGGGGGACATGGACTGGAGAGTTGTAGGTCAAACTGAAAACAGCAGGGCACTTTGAGAAGCTGCTGGGCTGAGCAAGTGGTTGTCTAAGTGAAGAAATTAGTGGCCTTTTGTGCCAGGCAATTACGCACTTCAGCACACCCACACACATAAAAGTTTCCCCTGCTTCATCACCCAGACACACAAACACATATGAAGATGAACATCATGCAGTAGCAGGTGCAGCTGAGTTGGTGGCACAACGCTTTATCCAGCCACTTTGGGTGCTGAAGTAGCCAAGAGAGCAATCCAGAAGCATAGAGGGGGGGCTGACAAGCCAGATTGACCTTGTCTGCGCTAACAGGTCGAGTAGAATAAATGACAGGAAGGTGAACATCAGTCTTTAAGGCTATGGCAGATTTAGGAATGATGATTTCCAGCCCCCTCCTACGTCTGCAGAGTGCAGCAAAGGGCTGGCATTCTCCGTTCAGGGGGCCACAATCCTTTAGATTCTCATTCAGCAAAGTCAGAGTTTTCTTGGCCGTGCTCTTACCTGCAGGATTGTACATCAGATGCGGCTCATTCATCTTCCTAAGGCATGGACCCAGTGGGAATGAGGGAGATGGACCACAGGAATACTTTAAAAAAGAGAAATGGATTAGGAGGGAAGATGAAAGATAGGAGGAATGGCGACACAGAAAAGAGAATTTCCCCTTTTGCACAGGTCAAAATGCCTTTGGCTTTGGTCCCTTTGTCAGGTGAATTTAACCTGAAATGTTTAATGTGTCTTTCTTATTTGGGTTCAGGGTTGTCAGGTGTACGATTATTATTATAATTGTACGATAATTTTGCCCTCTGTACGATGTATGATCAATACGCCAGAAAAAAGGATAAATGTACAATAATTTGACAGTTTGAATGTGTGGTGCATTGGGTCTGCCAGACACTTTAGTTTTCAGTTTTTTATTTGCGAACCTTAAAGGCATCTTTTACCACGTGATGTTTGCATCCAATCATAGTTTGAGTGAAGTTTGTATCCGAACAATTAGCATGATTGGCTGTCAATCATGCTCATGCAGGATCAGCCACAAAATCACGAGTGCCTGTAGGATGCTAAACAGAGTGACTATATGTGACTCTAATGCAACAGAAAAGTTATTTTGATTGTGACGAGTGTATGATAATTTTCCAAAAAATACAATATTTTTAGTCTCTGGTACAATGATTCTATATTTCCTATCTGGCGACACTGTTTGGGTTGATTTGTTACAGGTCTGGGTAAACTGAAAAAGTTCAGCAATTTCAGAGAATCCTTAGAGTGACTGGAAAAACTTGAGGATGTCATCATCTAACATACATGATATCAAAAGCTTCAAAGATTCTGAAGAGTTTGGTACAAAAAGGACAAGGCAGGAAAGCAAATCATTTTTGTTTTGAGAATTTGGGAGAAAAGCTTTAAGTGATGTTTTCTCCTGTTTTTTTTTTTTTCTTTCTTTCTTTGTGTGTGTGTGTGTCTGTGTGTGTGTGTTTGTTTAGTTTCGGTTTTTATTTCTTCTTTGTAGGCGCAGGTAAGCTATTTTACTTATAAAAGAATTTTGTTTGTTTTTTTGCTATTTCTCCCTGAAAGCTTTTGTAATTTTGAACAAGGAGGACAACTAAATGTTGTTTTCTTGTAAATGCAACCTCATATCCTAGTCCATTTTTCTGCTGGTTCATCTTGGGAGAGAGAAAGGAGTGGTTGCATTTTATGTTACCCTTAGTATCCCTTAGGCTGGACGTATCACACACTAAGAGGAAAACATACAGGAATATGATGCCAGACACTGTATCACTCTCTGTGAGTTGATGAGTCAAAAAGGAAAACTGTCATGTGGTTTGACAATTCCAAGTTTGTTTCATTCTTATAGGAAACCATGGATACCGCAACCTTGGCTCCAAAGTGGAGGGGGACCATTCAGCTTCATCAAAAGCAGTATCCATAAGGGTATCTGTGGAGGTGTCATCAATACTGAATAATATTTGCATATTTTAAGGCAACATACGCTGCCACCCAGACAATGCCTATTTCAGGTAAGACTGCATTCGTCAGCAAGACAGTGCCAAACCACATTCTACAAGTATGAAAACAGCTTGAAACAAAAAATACAAAAAAGTCAACCCTAAATTTTCGAGCAGCTGAAACACTGTATTAGACAAAAAAAGTACAACTTAAAAACTCCAAACAAACAAATCTCCCTCGATTTTCCAAACTTTCACCCGGGAATCCAACTGGATCCAGAACGGCTCCAGTCTGCTCCAGACCAGCAGGCCGATCAAATACGCAAGCATACAGTGCTCACCGGGTCCGATCCACTGCTGCTATCTGAGGAGAAGCTATCCCGAGATTACCAATATTTCTTGCAAGATTGGACGTGATCTCATGGGATCTTGCGTTTTTCCCCTTGAGACATTGAATGAGATCCACTAATCGGTGTACTTACACAGTGGTGTATATAAACACCCACATCCCACAACCCTGGCCTCTCTTATTGTCAAGTGAAGAACAGTTCAACTAATTGAACTCTTTTATTTTGAAAATAAATCGGATATTTTACTCTGTAGCAGCGTACAACTTCTGATACTGCTCATGCTGCGCTGCACTGACATGATGCGCCGTGCATTAACGTCCAGCAAAAATGAAGCCTTGCGTATTCGATCCAGCCACCGGAGTTGATCCACAGCAGAGCTGGACGGTGGACAAATTGTGTGGAATCACACACATCTATTACAATGCTTGCGTATTTGATCTGCCTGCCGTGATGGAGCGTAGCGGAGCCCCTCTTGATCCTTTGGGTTTTACCCGTTATAGTGCTATTTAAAGAAGAGGTGATGGACACAGTGGTCAACATGACCTTGTCTCAAGTTTTGTGATTTGTGTCGTGTCAAAATTTCAAAAGAGCTCGTATTTACCATGAGCTGATGCCAATTTTCAGGGTATATACTTGAATAGCTGTGTTTACAGTATTTTCATCATACAAGGAGTTCAAGTCATTTGCAGTATATACTGTTTTTAACAAGCAACTAATAATTTGTGCCAACTTTGGAGGTATTAGGTTTGTAAACGTGGCTGTTCCCCAGTTACCATGAGAAAAAAATGTTCATGGATGCTAACTTTAAAAAATTCATCAAAACAAAACCAGTGAAAGTAGAGTGGACACAACTAGTTTTATCTGTGTTTATTTATAGTAACACATCTTCATCTTAAGATTTTATGCTTTCTCACATTTTCCTATTACTTGACTGGTTACCAAGCCCTCTCAATCAGGAGCAGTAAATAGTGAATTTGTATTGCATAGCCGCAGTACAGCCTGCGAAAGTGAAGATAGAGATGTATTATCCATCAGCCTGTGGGCGAGCAGGATGTGGTGATGACGTAAAAATATAAGGGTAATTACAAATGAAGGCAGGTGCACGGAAATGATCAATCAAAGTGTCCTTGTTTTAAGATGCAGTGACGTTTGTCGATGTGCAGGCTGTTAGGAAGAGCGGCCTCCTGCAGGAAGCATCCATCAGTTTGGACAGCACCAAACCTGGGATAACAGTAAACAAAGCATTGCTGAGTATCAGCACAGGGCAAAGTGTCAAGTGTACTGAACAGAAATACGAGACATAAACTCTGAAGTAAACATCCAAGGTAATGGCTAAACATACAGTAGCATATTTCTATGAAATAGTAGACTGGTGTATTCAAATCACAAATTAAACTATGACAGAGTCCCTCATCCCCTCTGACTGTGACACTGGGGATATGCTGTTACTGTCTAAAATAAACTCTGAGTCTAATATTGATTTGATGAGAACTCAAGTATACAAACACACAAACACAGGCATAGTGCGCAGTTTTCTCTTTTTAGAGGAAGATGTCTGTCACGGTTTAACATAGTTAGAGGACCAGGTGCAGACAACATGAAGTTTTTCCTTCAACACAAAAGTGAGCGGGCAAAAACAATCCTAAAACAAAGGGGTAAACACAACAGAGCTTCGAGAAAAAAAACTAAAGGGACACATGGGAGGGTTTGACGAATCTGACAAAGAAAGGAAGGCACAGCAGCATGAAACACACTGAACCCAATCAAAACACAGCTGTGACCAACAAAACACAGGTAAAGCTGATGAGGCAGCAGTTGTGCTCTCAGAGTGGGAGCAGCAACTGAGGCGCACTCATGTCCAAATACGCTCCACAGGTTCCTTCTGAAATTCCACTCCAGTTGATAAAACACTTTGAAAATCCTTCTCCAATGCTGTAGCAGTGTAAACCACGAAGAAATACCCTAGTATGTGTCCATCACTTGATTAGAAATGTAAACCAGATTCAGACTGGATGCCCCTCCAATGGATAAGATGTAAATTAACTGCCCTCTGGACGCTACACTGACTGGATAAGATGTAAACCAAGTGCCAACCAGTTGCCTTTTTCATGGATGAAATGTGAACCATAGAATGTATATACTATGGACAACAGTATATAGATATGTATATATGTATACTGTTTTTATAGCCAGTATACAGATTTGCCATTTGTATTTCCGTTTTTTTTCTCCACTTCCAGGAACCACCACTTGGACAGTAGCATTGTACGCATTCGGCCGGAGAGTCACCCAGAGACGCTGTGATGACGCTCAGCTCAAACAGCGTATCCCCCGAGTGAGCTATGCAATCTCTGTACGCCAGTAGGCACAAAATGTTTTGTAAAAAATTACATTTTGTGTAATAAATTTCTAAAGAGGTGGGATTTATGAACTGCAGCTTGTCACCAGAGGTTGCTGTTTTTGGGCAAGGGGGCAGATGGCGTCCACTCTATATACAGTCTATAGCAAGGGTGGGCAATTAATTTTTACCTGGGGTCACATGAGAAACCTGAATTGTGTTGGAGAGCTGAACCAACAATAACTTCAACTTCAAATCAGGGGGCTTCACACATACAGAAAAGAAAGCCCAAATAAGCAACTACTAGTCAAAAGCAAGCCCCCCCAAAAAGCGCACCCACAACTCACGAGTTTTACAAGTGACTTCTGAGAAAAACAAACCTAAAGTCGTTTTTAATAACCGGACTCGGCAACTATAAGGCGTCTACGTATATTTTGCCGATGTTTAAACTTGTTTCTGTTCACCAATGCAGATTTAGGATGTAGGCATGTGCGTTTAAACGAAAATAAAACAACGGCTAGGTTTTCAAAATAAAAGCAACATACTTGTATAGCATGTTTGATTGACAGAACTCATAAAGGGCTGGGCAGGGACATCCAAGGGCCAGATAGAATGCCCAGGTCTTGTCTATAGATAAGATGTAAACCAAGAGCCAACCAGTTGCCTTTTACATGGATTAAATGTGATCCAAGTGCCAAGTGATTAAAGAATAAGAGATTAAATAATGACATATTAACAGAATGGCTCCTGTCATTGAAAAGGTTTCTGAACCCTATGTCAGATGGCGTTCACACAGAGAGTATTTCTCTGAAGAAATTTTAGTTCAGACTGTGACATCAAATAACATTAAATGTTGAAAAATGCCCCCAGGAAGGTGAGCTGGTGACCTTTACATAATCAGTTTTTGTCAGTGATTATTTCTATTTAAAAAATAAATGAATGAATTAAAATAGCACTACTCTACAAATGGACTCTGATGCATTTCAAACTAAACAAACTGAGTCCATAAATGAACGAAGCACATCTTATTAAAGAGTTACCCACTCGGTGGTCCTAAGCAGCTTACTTTTCCACGCCTCAGGCTGCCTTCAGAAATATTCTCTAATATTTTTCGCCAAAGTATTTAAAATGCTGCACAGAATGGTCAGATCTGTATCACAAAATTGAATTTGCGAACGACTCTTTGAGATAGAGTAAGTTTTGAAAGCAGTGAACCTGCAGTCAGTACAAAGTAGGCATTTCCTACGGCAGCAGGAAAACACTTTTGCTTTGAAACCACTATTCTTTTCTCTCCTCCTGCGTTTGCAGCTTGAAACCGTTTTTTTCTGCTGAGGTTGTGATTAGCTCCCCCAGCTTTCTCATTTACCTTTAAAATGTGCATTGACATATTTCCCACACTGTGCTCACTTTGCATTCTCCTTTCTATATGCCATGCCATTAAGCTTACGTTAGATAGTGCAGTAAAATGCACCCATGCTTTAATCTCCGACTAAAAAAGAAGCTGGAGTATAAAAGGTTTCATAAGGGTTCTTACAGTAGCAATCTGTGACTCGCTGTGCCTGATGGAGCCTTTATTAAACTCTGAGTCTATTCACCTTTGCAGTATGGCTTCATCAGCAGGAGTGGGGAATCAAGGCAGAGGTCAAAATGAAAGCAGAAGGAAAAAGCTTATGTTGTTCTCCCAGTAAAATGTCCAGTTTTAGATTAAAGAAACATACATGTTTGCCAATGTGAGCTTCAAAATGCCTCATCTTTGTGGTCCGCGTCTCTCTGAGAGGATTTTACTGTCTTTCCAAATGCGTCTGAACTGGTTTCCCAACACTTGTCTGACCTAATTTAAATGACGTGTGGAGAGGAGCGAGCAGGGGGCATTTAAATGCAGGAGATGACAACATGTTCGCCCCCGCATGTATAGACTGCACGCCTCCTCCTGCTCACTTTCACACCACCGCTCCCTCCCTCCCTTCTTCCTTCCCGCCCTCTCTTTTACTTGCACTCGTCTCTTCTTCACACTTTCCCTTTTTCTTCACTCTTCCTCCCTCCCTCTCTCTTTTCCTCTGGTTGTTGCATTAGCATAATGCAGCCTTTGCCTGCCAGTGAAGGGGAGCGTATCCGGCCCACTCTTCCCTCAGTCGTAGCATCGTGCCAGCCGTGGTTGTATATACTGTCGAGTCTCACAGAGACGGCAGCAGCACTCTCTCCACTCACATATGGAACAGTGTTGACAGGATTATAATTAATGGAAAACAGGGGACCCACACTGCACTCGCAACAAGTTAACTTGGTAAAGCTGCATTTGGAAACAAATCCCACACAGTCCAGTTCTGTTTGGTCAAAAGTGCCGGTAACACAAAGATAGTCATTTCCATCAGCTCCAAGAGAGTGTTAGCTAACATGTCATATACCAAGACAGACTGTGAGGCTTGGAAACAGCGAAAAGTGACAGTCTCTCAGCTTGAAATGAAAAGGGTTGATATCAATCAAGCGCAGCTCTCAGATACTCAGCGTGACAGATTTCACATTTTGACTTATCTGCTTAAAAGATTTAGCCTTAAATGCAAAACAGCTCCAGCTTGGCATTCATAACATATGTTGAGAATCACATTTGATAAGGCAAAGGAACTCCATTAAAGTAAAAGATAAATAAATAAGAACAAGAAAGAAAAGTTGAAAGAAATCTATCAGCAAACACTGAAACATTTTAAATTAATAACTTCCAGCAACTTGAAATTGCAAGATTGTCCACCATCATAATTTTTATATGCTTCAAGACAGCTAATATGAATAGATAATTTTTCACTTATAATTCTGTAAACGTGCTTATTTATCCATGTAAATTCATTCAGCAAATCGTTATATTTACACATTCTGATATAAATTTCAATAAAAACAAAACTCTTCAAAGACCTTCCTCTTCCCTGTTCTTCCTGAAAACCATTTATTTAAATTCTTTTTTTGCTCCTGATTCAGTTTGGACATTGATTTAGTTCTATTATTCATTCAGTCTATTCTGTTGTTTTACTCCTCAGATTAAAATACAGAAACTTTCTTTTGTTTTACAAGCACTGAAAGTCTTAATATCTAATTCACCTCTCATAACCACCACCTTTAAAGCAGATTGTTCTTTCTTAATGTTAGATTTCAAAACTGCACAAAGAATCGATTATTTGACCTTGTTAAATTTTGGGTTTGAGGAATAGTGAATTACAGTGTGCATGAAAACCAACATTATGAACTATTCTCACATTTCCTTCACTTTCCTAAATCTCAGTTAAAAAAGTTTCAATTATTTGCTTTACCCCATGAAAATAATTCTTTATTGAGGTTTACATAAACCTGTTTGGAATTAAAAATTTGTGTGTGCATGTCTCTGTTTTACTTCACCAATTTGAAATAACTAAGTTGTGTAAAAGTTGAGAAAAGCAGATTTTGATGGTTTGTAAATCATTTTTATCCATTTTAAGAATAATGTCATTAAAGCGGTTTTTCGGCGTAAAAAGTTATGGTCAAACACACCGTAACACTAAGTTAGACACCCCCTCGAGAAATTAATATTGCCGACTGCTTGCTTCTTTAGTAATAAATGCATGATAGCAATACACAGTGGTCTACATCTCCATGTGCAAACCTTCTTCAGCAAATAGACCAAACACAACTCACCTACTCTCCTCCAATAGCCACTTGTTTGTGGGGGAGCCCTGACGAGTCGATCACAGAGTGCAGCAGAGTTTCGCAACTCAAGGAACAACATCTATGATTATTACTTCATAGAAATGCAATCAGACCAAGATGCTAAGGCAGAAGGCGTCTGCAGTGCAAAATTATTAATATGACGATTATTACTTCATGGAAATGGTCTGCTTCACTCGTTGATCGTCTCTTTGATAAAGAAATGAGGCAAAGCTAAAAAGATGTTTGATGACTCGTACTATGGCTAGGACACTATATGGTCCGTTGGTGAAGTTTGGTGCTGTTCTGAGCATTATTTGTGGCTATAGAGTGGCTTTTTGGTTGAGGTTTGTGTGTGGAGACGTAGATCACTGTGTATTGCTATTGTGTGGTTGTTGCTGAAGTTCGTATAACTAGAGAAGCAAGCATTCAGCAACATTCACGCTCGAGGGGTTAAGTTAATTTTACACCCTTTAACTGTATATAATGTCATGACGAGGTTCAGAGAATCTGGAGTCGTCTGTGAAGTTAGTGAAAATCCTGTTAATGTATTTGTTAAACCTGTAAAGCATTATGATCTGATCTCAAGTGGTCATGATGGTGGACAGACAGGATAAATGATTGAGTGATTTAGATAAAGCCTTTTGTTGGGGTCAATTCTGGTTTATGCTAGTCCTAGGTTTTGATAGTGTAATAGAGCACTGTAGGATTAAAAAGGTTTCTGATTCTGCTGCTTTGATTGCTCTCTTGAATCGATTATTGTTAGTCTAAGACTAAAGAGTTTAACTTTAAATCAGTGAAGTACTCCCTCATGTTTGTGGACCACACAGCAGAACTGAGCCACATCACCAATTCTAATGAGGAGCCTGTTCTCCATAGGTGAAGGACTTGTCAATATGGTCAACATCATTTCGCTGAATGTCAGTTAAGCTGAAAGGCTGGTTGTTGATTTTGTCAAGGTGCACATTCCTGACAATCAATGGAAAACTTCCAATAAAACTAAAAGAGAGATAAAGTGAGACATCTACCATATCCTAATCACACAGACACCCAGGTTACTGTAGGTTTCTTACCAAGACCAAAACGATTTTTTATCTTCCATAAATTCCACTGCAATGTTTTAACATATATAAACCAGGTTAAGACTATATTAAAGTGTACACAGGCTGGAATAATTATATGTGATACTGTTCAGCTTCCGGGATTTTCTGTCATGCTTTACTTTTGAATGATATTGGGATCGTCGTTAATTAACTGTTAAATGCTGCTAGATTATCTGACATCACTCTTCTGTGTTTTTAATGGTTTTGTACCACCAAACTGCAAATCCAATTTCCAATTTAGGAACAATAAACACTCTGGACTGAACTAAATTGTTATAAAATAGCATCCATACATAACTTATCTGCATTCTATGTCTTTACTATTCATAAACCCCACCCTTTGGAAACTTTGCTCAAGTTTTAAACTTGGAGTGCAAATAACTAAATAATAAGACTCCTCTACAGTTTCAGCTGAAAGATGCTCCATTCGTTGTACTTTTTAAATCAGTGAAGCCTTAAATTTAGAAGAAGTTTCTCTCTGTCTTCTGTAATTATGGTGGTATCTCTATTCAAACTGAGCAGGAGAATATGTGTTTCGGCAGGATCATCAATAATAAGTCAATATTGATGCGAGATGTGCAAAAAGTTAGTACCGCTTTACTTTTTAAGATAACTTTAAAATTCTAAAGGTGACAGTCCTATGTAAAATCTGTTGTATGAGAACTGTGTTGAGAGTGTACTGAGCTCTTGTATTCAGTGTTGGAGAGGAGCATACAAAACAGGAATAGGCTTTAAGAAGTATCTCTTACCTGGCGGCCCAGGACAATGAACATTGCACACAAAATCACCACACACACCCTGCACCCCCTTTGGGCTGAACTCATACTTTCAGATTCAGGGCACAGGTTTATAGACTGGCCAAATTGCAGACTAAGCGGGGTATTGCATCCTTTGTCTCATGAAGCATCCAGCTGCCTACTCTGAAACACAGCCTGAACTTTTCACACTGCACTCTTTACAACTTCACGCTTGATATTTTTCATAAGTTACCATGCAATGCTCTACTAATGCACTTTTACATGGTTTTACTTGATGTCAGTGCATCACTGATAACGACTGTTAGCTTGTATTTATGGAAGTTACCTGCATGCACAGTGTGCCCAACCCTTATGAGTTCACAAGACACCAAGAATTACAGGTGCAGCCATGTCAAAGTAGCATCTTCCTTTTATAGCTGACTCTTTAATATTTTGTTCTGCATTTTCTCTATAGAAAAAAACGCTATTTAATAGATGTAAACAGCTCAAAACGGTTTGCTGGGAAATCACATGAGATCTCACCGAGCCTCAGAGTGAAAAGGGACTAAGGCAGCTGTGTTACCAATACTGTATATTCTTCTTTACTGACCTTAGACTGGAGCTAGATTTAGCCCGTTGGGATTCAACCTGATTTGTTTATAAAACTACTTCAACTGGTCAAAAGGGCAGGCTTTCTCAGCATTGGTAGCTTCACCTCCTAAAAGTGAGAAGAGCCAGGTGCCCTATATTCAACTTCAGCTGCTGTAACATACAGTGCTCGGTGATTCTCGCCAACTCTGGAGACCTTTGGACCATCCCCAGAGGTGAGCAGCCATTCACTATCTTCAGGTTATTTAGTCTACAACTAAAACTTTCTGTTCACGAGTTGCAACATGAGCTGCTTATTTCATCATTCACCAAAATAGGAGCATGTTCGATAAACACGTTCACACAGGACAACACAAATGTCAGTTTTCAAACTCCGCCATGCTACAAAGCCAAAAAATAAATAAAAAGTATGTACAAATAATCAGATCTATGATGGTACACTTGGATCTTCAAGCACTGGACAGCGACTCAGAGTGAATTTAGAATTTTCCTGCTTTTGCTGCATCTTTTTCCACTGCGCTTAAATTCACCAACACTTTCAGGTAACGTGGCTCTGTCCAGATTGAATTCTGTGTAAAATTATACATCACTTCCACACTGCATGTTTGATTTCAAGTCTTTTTTCTCAATCCCATTTTTTATTGTTTGCTTCAGAATTCTTCAGGGGTTCTTATTCTTTGCATTTTTATTACTTTCCATTTGTATTGTAATGTAAAATCTGGTAACTGCATGGCAAATGCAAAGCAGGTCCAACTCCCTGATACATTCTTATTTCTATTTAC